TGAGATGAAGCAAAAGATGAGATGCTGATATGGATCAAGACAAAGCTCTCTAGTTGACGGAATCAACGCTGTCCAGGATCGCTCTTACAGGTGCTTGGATGATAGTATATCAGCCAGGAACGATTACTCAAGAAGATGATGATGGCGAGATGATCTCGAACTCGAAGAAGCTGCTTGTGGCGGTGGAGCCAGAGCTTCGGATTCTCAAAGACTGAAAAGTGGCTGATGTTCGCCTCTGACATGTGGAGACTATAGGAGCTGGAGCGAACTCTAAGACGAAGCAACAGTCATAAAGACAAAAGATCGGACGAGTTTCATGGAACGTGGAAGCTGGTGCAAAGATTACTTGGCGATTCAGAGGTTCAATGGCCACCTTTACAATCGAGCAATCTGGACCGAGGGTACGTAGAGTCATTCTCTTTTTCCTCTTCCATTTATTTCATCCGTGTTGTTAAACAGGAGAAGCAGACTATAAGCGACACACACTTTGTGGATGGTAGCTCCATTCATATTAGCAACAAATTCTACGGTATTTTTTTGTTTTTCTGCTGTGGTAATAAATCTTCTGAGCTCCTACTTAGTCCAGATCGTAGGAGGCCGTCTCTTCGAGACTAAATAAATAAAACATCTCAGAGACTACGCAAGCAGCTGCTTATTCTGGCCAACTTGTGAGTAAATAACCTTGAGAGATTATGTTTATTTTCTATTTGGAAAATAGTCTGACTGCCAACTGGCCGCCAGAAGAATATGTAAATGAGGGTGGAGCAGGACTTGAAGCAGCGAAAGATAAAACCAGCGTCAGAGATCATAAGAATCGAGCAAGTGGGAATGGAAAATCATAAGTTGATTTTAAAACTTGGAGACAAAGAGAGCAGGCTGAAACAGCTAAGATCGAGCAGCAAAGATTGAGCAGCTTAAAGACTAAAAATTTCTTAAACCAAGCAGGGGCAGCAGCTTGAGTTTTAAGTTCGCCCAGTGGAGCAGGGGCAGCAGCTTCAAAAAGCAAAGAGGAAGCAGCTAAAGAGCTGTGACAAGTTTGATCGAGCACAGCAGCAGAATAGCCCAGAATCGTGATAGTTTTTTTTCATATCATTTTCTTTGATTTAGCTGTGAAAACGATGATTTAATGTTGAAATCTATAATGTTTCATCTATACAAAAAATTTAACATCTTCGAAAGATCCGAGATCCGACTTTGATCCTAGAAACAAGAAACAATGATATCTAGAGCACGCTAGAAAAACTCGTGCTTGGGATCTTCTTGTACGTTCGCAAGGATTCCTGGTAAGTTTGTCCTCGTAACTTGATTAGAAAATGGAAGTTGACCTCAAACAAATCCAGCTCGAAAATAAGATTCTTACGTAGTTTGCTCCAGAGGCCATCACATAGCTCGCTAGTTGCTAGCGAGAGCTCCCAGTGGATTGAAGATCGTTCATTTGGTTGGATCGGTTCAAATTTACATGCTAAGCAACTCCACCTGTGAAATAAAAGAACAAAACAAGAAAAAACAATGATATTAATAGTGGTTCTAATCGGGAAGCAGTAGTCTGAGTAAAAGCAAAATCACATAAGACTAGAAGAATTCCAAAAATGACAATACGTGCCTTCGAAGACGGGCATGTTGATAAAGGACGCTTTGCCTTAAATCTCCTGCTGCCTCTCCCGGTGCGGGGGCGTACGCAATGGACTGTGGGCGGAGTGGTAGCGATGGTGATAGCTGTGTCCCTGCTCGAAACAAACCTCAACCGAGAGAGAAACGAAATGCTAGAGACGATCAGACCTGCTATAGTCGCCAGCTACGTCACCAACACCGAATTCATCCCGAGAAGCTGGATTGACCAATATTCGTAGTATAAGCTTATATTATCCAACGGTACAATGAATATTCCTGAAGTCAAGCAAAGATTGCGTTCATCAAACTGTATAGTTTGCCTACTTTCTTTTGCTTGTCACCGTTTTACTTGGCTTGGAATGCAGTAAAGAAATATGGTTGTAGTTAAGCTTTGCTATAAAGCTTGAGAGAAGTTCCAATCCCAGCTTCGTTGATGCTCGAGAGCTCGCTCGGGCATCGATCATTCACTTCCCTGCACTCAATTTCGTCGTGGGTTCTCCAAATCTTTGATCGAAGAAATGGCCACTGTGGGTTCTTCTCCTCGTCATGATCAAGAAGAATCTGGGAAGGAAGGTAAAGATCACGTCATTGGCAATGCCATGATCGTCGAAAGCAATCGAGTGGATCACCAAAATCCTGTCAATGATCGTCGGTGCTCGAGGTTCCTCCGTCGCCCAGCGGTAGTACTCGCGATTTCTTTGCTATTCGTCCTCATTGTTTCCCTCTCAATCTCCCTCCCACTGGTCCTCCTCAAGGAAAAAAGGGGCGAGGAGTTCACCGTAAGCAACGCTTGCAAGTCGACGAGGTTCCCAGACGTGTGTCTCTCCTCCCTGGCCAGATCCCAGATCGCCAAGTCCGGGCCTAGAGAACTCCTCGAGGAAACGACCAGGGCTGCGATTCAGGGCGTGGAGGAGATGCTCAATCTCACGGCCCAATTCATGAGCGATGACCACCACCACCACAGCGTCAGGGCCAAGGCCGCGTTTGACGATTGCTCCGAGCTCCTGGGAAGCGCCATCGCCGAGCTCCAGGCCTCCCTGGAGGAATTCGTGCAGGGGAGATACGAGTCCGAGATTGCTGACATCCAGACGTGGATGAGCGCGGCGTTGACCTTCCACGACACATGCATGGACGAGCTGGACGAGGTCAGCGGCGACCCAGAGGTCAAACGCCTCCGGGCCGCCGGTCAACGGGTCCAGAAGCTGATTAGCAACGCGCTGGCGCTGGTCAACCCCATGGTCGCGGCGTGGCGGGCATCCCTGGCTGCGAGAGGTCAGCGCGGGTCAGCGCCGCCAGCGCTGGTCACCGCTGGCCGGGGCTTGGTCAACGGCGCTCACGTCGTGGACGCGGTGGTGGCGCAGGACGGGTCGGGGCAGTTTGGGCGGATCCAGGATGCGATCAACGCCGCCCCACGGATGAGCGCGCGGAGGTACGTGATCCACATCAAGGCCGGAGTCTACCGGGAGTACGTGACTGTGAGGAGTTTCCACACGAATTTGATGTTCGTGGGCGACGGCCAGGGGAGAACAATCATCACGGGGAACAAGAATGTGATGCAACCCGGGATCACTACCAGAACGTCGGCCACAGTCGGTAAGAGAAAGTTCCATTCCAGTTGGAGTTTGCCTGATCTTATGGTTGGTTTCCTGGTCTTGGCAATCAATCCTTTGATCTTATAGTTTCGTTTCTTGGGTCCTTCCGGAGTCTATCTAGACTTTGATATTGACTAAAGAGCTTTTTCTCTTGTGTAGTTATCGAGGGGAAGAACTTCATGGCTCGAGAGCTGACCATCGAGAACACGTCTGGTCCTCAAGCCCAGCAGGCAGTGGCACTCCGGGTTGGGGCCGATCAAGCGGCATTCTACCGCTGCTCCATCCACGGCAACCAGGACACGCTCCTCGCCCACGTCTTTCGCCAGTTTTACCGCGAGTGCACCGTCACCGGCACCGTTGACTTTGTGTTTGGCAATGCTGCCGCCGTCTTCCAGAACTGCAGCTTCGAGTCAAAGGTACCGGTCCACGGTCAACAGACGGTGGTCAGCGCTCAGGGCCGGTCAGACCCCGCCCAAAACACAGGCTTCTCGTTTCATATGTGCCGGGTTGGCGGTGCGTTTCCGGTGTATCTGGGCCGTCCATGGAAGGAGTTTGCGCGGGTCGTGTGGCTGAGATCTCAGATGGAGGCCATGGTGCAGCCACGTGGATGGCTGAGTTGGGAAGGTAAATCAATTGAATCTATATTCATATCAATTTTCTCTTTTTCAGGAGGATCCTTTGGTCTACAGACATCATATTTTGCTGAGTATAAGAATTGGGGACCTGGATCCAGCATGAGAGATCGAGTGAAATGGGTTAAAGTTCTCAATGGGCCTCGCCTTGCCCGGAAGTTCACTCCAAGTAGCTTCATAGCTGCACAATCTTGGTTGCCAAAGACCAGCTTTATCTTTGACTCAAAGCTCTAAAGAATAATTGCTTAATCATGTTATGCTATATTTCTTTATAAAATCTTTGAGCAGTTAACTTTTTTTTTGCCCTGAAGGGCACTTTTTTTCTAATTATCCATATATTTATTTCCCATATTGTGCAAAATTGGAACTTGGTTGCTATGATACTAAATTATCATAAAATATTAAATTGAAAAAGAACTTAAGAAAGTGAAAGTAAATATTATAATAGAAATAACAACTGAAAATTTTACTTAGATTAGATTATATTTTAATTAAGAAATGTATCTTCTAGTTACATACACAACAAAAAGGCATTTTTAAAGCACAACAAGTTTACAATCAAGGTTTTTTTACATTTTCATTAGTTGATATTAATCTTTTATTATAAGCATCTAAAAAACATTGAAGTGAGAATTATTTTAAAATTTTATACAAACCAGTTACAAGAAAAGTAATAAAATTTCATAATTTAAAAATAATCCATATATCTCTTTAGCTTTCATAAGCATGAAATTACAAACTTTATAATTAAAATTTAGGGTTTAATTAATTTTGTTTTACCATCACTGTGTTTAATTAAAAAATGAATCTTTGTATATATATAGTTTAATTTGTATATATAGGTTGCACCGGGATTCGAACTCGGCTCTTGGATTCAAAGTCCAATGTCGTAACCAGTAGACTATGGGACCATTTCTGATAATTAACTAATAGTTAGGTTTGTAGCCCTAAGAAGTTTGAAATTTGAAAAGAAAGCGCGGCTTTCGAGGGCGGGCAGGCATTTACTGCGACTGCGCCCTGCAAGCACGGTAATTACGTAGCTACGTTGAAAAGGACGCGTAGGGATTCCTATTTTTTACTGACTCTTGTGTTTTTTAACACTAAGATCCCTGGCCTGACTAGACTGACCCTTCACACCTTGTTTGCTGGGTCTTTGTCTTTCCCTCCATAGCTGGCTTTGAATGAAAGCTTATAGATTGAAACGATCCATCGTCCCTCCAAAAGCTTTGATCAAAGAAAACTATGGCTCGCGCATGGGGATTCTCTGCCGCTGTCTCTCTTTCCGCAAAGATTGTCGAGAGAGACTGCTCGATCTTGGCGTTTGGCCATCGCCCGGAGAGGAGAGATTTAAAGAGGAAGTGAAAGGGTTTCCTTTTTTTTTTGTTTCTGTAAGATTTTTGTCTTGTTGGAGTGAATGGATTGAGAAAAGAGCTCCAGAGTTATGATGCTCACGCCTTGTTTCTTGGAGGAGGACTACGCCCTCTCCATTCCAAGCTCGTTTGATTCCTCTCCATTTGGGAGGAAGCTCAAATCTAGGCATGAAAGATCGAAGAGGTAAGAATGTTTTCGTTTTGGGTTTTCTCATAGTCAAGTGGTTTCGTCCAGCGCTCCCTCGAACGAGCGTTCTTTCGATGGGTCGGAGGATGGATCCTTCTGGGACGTGTATACTCCAACTGATCATCGCAATTGGAGGTGTCTCGATTGGAGGACGAAGCATCGTCTCGCCCTGGAACGGGATGTAAGTATCTAGTTCTTCCTCTAGTTCTCAAAAATGTTCTCACTCCAGGTTTGCTTGCTCCAAATCCGGCTACAAGAGGAGCAAGCCACACGGGCATCGTTGGAAAAAGCTCTCGTCAATGCTTCCAGCTGCCTCTCCCCCGATTGTAAAACCATCGCTACAAAGGTTTGCTCCAAACGAACTTAGATTGCCAGAAAACCAATCTTCCATTTTGTTTTATTTTTGGCTTCAAGGCGAGAGACCTCATCGCTGAGACAGCACTGATCGAGCACGAAGTCGCCCATCTGGAAAAACGAGTTCTTTGGCTCTACCGGAAGATCCTTATCGAAAACGTT